TCCATCTCCTAATTCACCAACTTCCCTAAACAGGAACCAAACGTGGCCCGTGCCAAGGCTAAAAATTGTACCTGACATCAAAGACGTTCGAGTGTAATTTAGTATGCAAGTTGACAGGTAATTTCATTGGCTGCTTTGACTGAGACCCTAAATACAGTCCGCCTCCCGCGGGCCTAGTTTTCTCAGTTTCCCACACAAACTTAGCTGCACTAACTTGAAAGTCCAGTTTTCCAAGCAAGTCAAAGAAAACACCAAAGAGTACTGGAGACAACATGGACGTGGACAGGTAAGAGGGGATTATTATTGAAGGGAATAATGAGCTTTATTCTTTTTTTTACTTGTGCTTAAATACATTAAATGACTTTTTGTGCAACAGAACTTTTTCCATTTAATAAAAAACATAACTTCTATAGTTTACTGCTTTGAACATTTATACTGTATTACTGTTTCTTAGCTATATGAGTAATTTCTTTAAAATTGTGGCACTAATGCCCTAAATGCATTACACAGAAATGTATTAATATCATGATAATAATAGAATGATGCACTAGTTGGTACTAAAGATTGAACTTGACTGTAAATATTTATAATGGTACAATATGGACCTTTCTAAAACTGGGCTCTCTCTCTCTCCTAGTTTGAAATGACTGATTTAGAAAAAAGACTTAATTTTAACAAATTACCAGCATTGACTCGTATATGTTTTGTTATTTTTAAGTGACACATACAAGCAGTTATTCCTTAGTGAACTTACATTCAGTGGTCAGTTTATTAGGGACACCAAACTAAAACAAAGTCAGTCTAATCCAGCAGTCCCACAGTGAATCCTCTTTCATTGTTCAATTTTTGTTCAAACAGTTTTAGAGAGGCATTAATTCAGCTGTGTGATCATTTTGGAGGCTGGAGTGTTTCTGTCACTTAATCTAGTTTCAATAATATGAATGGGCTAGACGAAATAATAGAAACATCTGTCTGTATAATTTCAATACAATTCAACAGCAGCACAAACTACATTCCCCAAATGACCATACAGTTGAGTCCACACTTCTTTAAAGCTGTTTCAACAAAAAACTGAACATTATCATCTTCATGAAGGAGGGTTCATTGTAGGACTGCTGGATCAGACCGCATAAGCCTTAGCTAGGTGTATCTTATAAACTGTCAACTGAGTATACATAAACACACCTCACATGGAGCGGGAAGTTGGATTGAAGTTGGGTGAGAAACAGCCTGGGGCAGACTTGGTGGCTTTGCAGACGTGGCTTCTGTTAATGATACATTGACTTTGCAGTAACAACATGGCTTATTGTCTCTCCTCACTGTGCTGTTGTCTTCTCAGCAAACGGCTGGTAGTAGTAGTACCAAACGAAGCATCAGTCCCCTCCCGTAGAGTGTTCAGCAGTGAGGATGAGGCGTGGAGGAGCTACCTAGAGAACCCCCTGACTGCTGCCACCAAAGCCATGATGAGCATCAATGCAGATGAGGACAGTGCAGCAGTTCTGGGACTGCTGTACGACTGTTACAAGGTGTGGAAGGCTTTGCATTATGGCCAAAATAATTAAAAGACATTTTCCACATAAAAGGCTCTGATTTGTTGCCAACCTCATTTTTTGTATTTCCTATAACCCTGTCAGGTTCCCAGAGAGAGGAGACGACCCTCTAGTGGTGGCACAGAACCCTCTGCTATCAGGCCCAGTAACTGTGGGAACTTGGAGATACTAGATCACCGTCTTCAGGCTTTTAGATCTATGCCTGTCAACCTCTCCTTAAACAACAGCACCACTACAGAATATCAGGGCTCCAAATACGCAGCTACTAGCCTGGTAAGAGACACCAGGGGAGGCGATGGTAAAGTAGGAGGTGGGAAGGCTCTTGCTCTGGTGAAGACAGAAGGCCAGGCATCCATGGGAGTGTCCTGTTCTGGAGGATCCTACATAGAAGAACCCAGAGACCAGAAAAGGATGGTTCATGAGCATGATTTGTCCCTTGCTAGGTACTTGAAAGATGAACAGAGAAGCACTCCAGACAGCACATATGAGGATGCTGTGGAAGGAGAGGTGAGTGAGATGGAGGTGGCAGTATGTCTTGCTTTATAGGTCAGGGTTGCCTTATTTGTTTGTTTTTTCACGATGAGCAGTAGTTTTCTGTGTTTCCACTTGTGAAGCATATGGTGTATGTTGTCTTCTTTAACAGATGTACCACAGGAGTTCTTCTTCACGAGTTGATGAATTCCACTATAGCCTACCAGTGTAAGTTGAAATTCAGATGAAACAGAAGCATTCAACATTGTTGACAACTGTAGAGCTGTAAGATCTATAGTATCAGGTTGGTGGAAGAAGAGAAATATTGAATATTATCTGGCTTTCCTGTCGCACATCAAAATATCTGTGATGAATTAAATGAGTCTGTTTGGAGCCATAAGTGTCGTAAGAATTAACCTCCTCCTGCTAAATTTGCAAATTAAAAATACAATTTCCACTACCAAACAACCTAATTTAGGTAGAAAACATCTTTAAAAATAATTCAGGTATCTTTTTCATTAGAATGTTGACACCGTTTGCACTAATTTTACTTACATATACAAAATGCTGTATTGTCATGATGTTTCCATACATGCTCTTACAGTGACAGTTTTCGGTACAGTCTGGACGCCAGCGTGTCGCTGCGGTCACGGCAAGCAGAAGGACCCATGGCTTACCTGAACCGGGGCCAGTTCTACGCTTTGACACTGTCTGAGACCAGCTTCAGATCATCCCTTTGTCATGCCAGAGGCAAAGTGCGGGCGAGTGGACCAACGCCGTCACATGGGAAGGATGGGAGTCCATCTACTAGTGAGGAATGCCCCATGGGAGGCTCTGAGCTGCAGCGGGACAGTATTGTACAGGTAAGGGATGGGAAATAATGTAAACGAAGAGGAAGTGTAGTGGTTGAAGGTATTACTATTAGCTTATTGTTGGGTAACATGAAACCTTGTTACACTTTCATTTTGATTCTTTTTTTAGTTTCCTTCGATTTTGCCCTGATTCATACTCTATCTTTGCTTCCACTGCAGACTGTTATTATGGTAGTCTTTGGGGAAGATAAGTGCAGAGATGAGCAGCTGAAGAACTGGAAATACTGGCACTCCCGCCAGCACACAGCCAAACAGAGAGTCCTGGACATTGGTAAGATAATTATTGTTATTCTCTTCACTTACAGGACTGCCTGCTGCATCCATGTCTTGATGAGGTTTCTTTACATTTATTTTGTGGGTGTTAGGCCTTTATTTTATGGGGTAAGTGGGTTGCAGAGAGGTGGACAGGAAAGAGGGAAGACAGTGAAGTGGACCTACGACATAGATCAGCAGCCAGACTCCAACCGCCGACATGGCGCACACCATGTGTAACCATGTGTGTTGTCATACAAGCATATACTGTGCTTGTATATGGTGTGCCGCACTATAACCATTCGGCTATCTAAATGGAACAGATGAGAAATTGGCCCAGATACAAAAATGGCACTCACACGTGCATATAGATAGGGGATTTTGACTCATAAGCTGCATAAAAGCATGCAGGTAAAGACACAGTAAGCAGGAAAAGTCCATCATGTATCCCGGTGAAACCCGGCACAATTTGAATAACTGTCAAACCTCAATTCCCACAGGAGCTTGGTGTAGAGACAGCTAATGGATATGCATTTGCATAGACGTTAACAGGAGAAATAGGTGGGGGCCTGGACTGAGGCCATATCCTGAATAATCAGCAAGAGACAGGCCTCAACCTGTGGATTAAAAAAAACTCAGAGGAATGAACCAGAGATTTCAGATGCTTTGGTAGTTTTGTCTGTGGCAAGTTCATGCCAGCACCATGGTGAAACCCATAGCCTAATGTAAGTGGTGGAAGCTGAGTGTTTTGGGAGGTAACAAGGCAAGGCAAGTGTTTTTTTTATATAGAACATTTTTAGACACAAAGGCAATTCAGAGTGCTTCACATAATACATACATAAAAATAATACAATGCAAATTAAGAGAAAAGATAAAAGAAGGTAAATTGTAACATAAAATAAAGTACCTTAATTAAAAGCAGCGGGAAAAAGAACTGTTTTTAGCTTGGTTGTGGCAGATCTAAGTTCTAGTTGGAGCTGGTTCCAGCTGTGGGCAGCTTAATGGCTAAAAGCTCCTTGTATAGTTCAAATTCCGGGCACCATTAGCTGACCAGCCCCTGCAGATCTGAGACACCTACGAGGCTTGTGTTCGGCAGACATATCAAATCAAATCAAATCAAATCAAATTTTATTTGTATAGCACCAAATCACAACAAAAGTCATCTCAGGACACTTTACAAAGTAAGGTCTAGACCTTACTGTTATCAATATTATTACATAGGGAAAACCCAACAAAGTCCCCTTGAGCAAGCACTTGGTGACAGTGGGGAGGAAAAACTCCCTTTAACGGAAGAAACCTCCAACAGACCCCGGCTCTTGGTGGGTGGCCTTCTGCCTCGACCGGTTGGGGTGAGTGGATAGAGGAGAGACAAAAGAAGAAAAGCAACAAGACACAACAATCAAACACTGATCAGGTCAATGTGGCTGGTGACTGCTCATCAGAGACGTAGAGCTCCAGGGCCAGGGCAACCTG